CCTGCTCGCTCCTCGCTCCCCCCCCTCCCCGCCCCGCCCCTCCTCTCGGCCCGAACCGCCCTGCGTCGCGCTTCCGGCCCCACGCGCCCGCCAACTCGAGCTTGTCCGAAGTCCGACCCTGCCGCCCGCCCGCCCGCCGATCGTGCCGTGCCGGAGAGGCCCCTGATATACCATGGTCCTGCAGCACTCGCCGATCGCGGTCCTCGGCCTGATCATGGTCGGGGTCAGCCTCATTGTGGCGCTCTTGTCGGCGCCCTTCTCCCTCAAGCACACTCCGGCCGAGCGCGTCGACCCGCTGGTGGACTCGGACGCCCTGTCGGCCGGGACCCCGCTGGCGGCCATCCTCTGCTATGTGGCCATTTTTGCCACGCTCCTGGTCGACTGGTCGGCCTTGACACTCATCTGGAACCGGCGCCGGGATTTCGCGCCCTTCCGCGCGCGGCAATTGACCCCGGTCACCTGGGGTCTGGTGGGTGCGAGGCCCGTCGCGGGGTTTTCCCCATTCCTGGCGGCGGCCGCGCCGGCGGCGATCCGCCTGCCCCTGGGCCTGATGACTGTCCCCCTTCACCCGGACCGCATCCCATTCACCTGTTCGTGCGCGTGCGCGTGCGCGTGCCTTTGGCGCATGCCCTGGCTGGACGCTACACCTCGGCAGGGGGAACCATGGTGGTTCTCGGCATCATGGTATGTCAGTGTGCCGCGGCCCTTGCTTGGCTTGGTCGATGGGGCGCAAAGAAATGGCCGGGCCCTCGCACATCCGTCCACGCACCTCGGCATGACCCTCACTGACGCGCTCCTCCTGGCCCCTCTGAATCGCCCTCGCCCCGGTAGATGACCTTCCAGGTGTTTCCCTATCCCGGACCGTGGTTCTGTACATTTGGCTGTGCGTCGAAGATGGCGCATCCCCTTGCCCGCCCTCGCCGCTCTTTGTCGCTCGCGCCGCGTGCGGCATGTGCATGAGGGCACATCCACCGGGGGGGACTTCCCACACTGACATGCCCCGGGCCCCGGGATCGGCTGCCGGCGGTCGGCCCTTGGCGACCTCGCGCCTTCCTCCCGACAGTCATGGTCCAGTATGCGATCGGCTACGGGACCCTGGTGACGAGCTACTTCTTCCGCATGTGGCGGGTGCGTTCCCCGGGACATTGGCCGGCATGGTGGCCTCGCGCGGCAGCGGGGCACCCGCGCGCACTTGCGACTCCCCGCACACGCACACGCACACGCACACGCACACGCACACGCACACACACACACACACGCACATACGACTAACAGCCGCGATGGTCCTCGCCCCGGCTGCCGTGCGGGAACGCGCAGATTTACACCATTTTCCGCCTCAAGGAGCGCGTGCACCTCGGGCACATCCTCTGGGCGCCGGTTCTTTACTGGCTGCCGATCCCGATTGTCACCGGCGTGGCCAGCGTCATGCATCTCAATGGGCCGGATGTTGTGGTATGTGTCCTGCTGCAAGGGGCGGTGCTGCGGGTGTGGCTGCTGCGGATGTTGCCGGCCCTGAGGCTGGCACCCATCGCTGCAGTCTCCCGCCCTTTGCCCCTCCTCGCCCCCGCCTGCCTACCACCCCCGCAGGCGCCACACGGCACCGGATATCCTCCTGAAAGGCTGACACGCGACCTCGCCACGCCCCGCTCCCTCGGCCGCGCCCCTCCGGCAATCCCCCCCATCGGGCCAGAATGGCTACGAAATGTGCTACCAATATGGCCCGGCCTACAAGATGATCTACCTCGGGTCGATCATCTTCCACACGGTTCCACACATCACGGTGGCATACCTGACCCGGCGCCTGTATGAGCAGCAGTACACGCGCTTTGACTTGGACGCCGGTCGGGCCGGGGCCGGCGCGGGGCCCGGCGACGAGGCGCCCCCCCGGCGGCGGCTGCTCCTCCGCACCGACCCGGACACCGGCGCCAAGAGCCTGCTGGCCACGGCCTGGCACCGGACCGGGCGCTGGTTCGCCGAGTTCCTCGGGGCCTGGTGCTCCTGCTTCTCCTCGCCCTCCGACGGCCGGGACTTCGAGCAGCAGCAGCAGTACTTCCTGCCGCGCGAGTGCCCCAATCGCTGGGCCAGCGGCCGGGGCTTCGGCCCGGACCCCCATGCCGGCGGGACTGCCCCCTGCAGCAAGGCCGACTGCCTGTGCGGCCTGTCGCCCAGTGCCGAGGATACGTCCGACACCGGGACCGCCACCGACACGGTGTGTCTCACGGCCACCAGCCTCACCGGGCGCCTGGGCGACACGCACAATGCCCTGGCGGGGCCCCACGCGGAGGACGACCCGACCGGCGGCCGGGGCAGGCCCAATGCCGGGGAGGCCATCCCCCTGCGCGAGATGACGGCCCCGGGCCCGGCCGGCCGGGGGGGGAACGGCCCGGCCGGCCGCACGGCCGACAAGCTCCCCACCGACAAGGCGGCCTGCCTGCCCGGCGGCCTGCTGGCCGGCGACCCGAGCAGCGACTTCTGCTCCTCGGACTCCACCAGCTCGGACGACCTTTCGGCCGGCGGCAGCGGCAGCAGCACCGGCGGCGACAAGGGCAGCCAGCATCACCTCACCTCCTCCGGCCGGTCGCTGGACTGGTCGCAGGATGACGATCCGGCGGCCGCCTCGGCGCGGGCCCTGCTCCCGGCGCCGGGGCCCGGGGCGGCTCCCGGCACCGGGCCGCCGAGCCGGGCCGCCGCCGGCCCCCTCCCCGGGCAGCCCCTCTCGCCGGCGGCCCAGCTGCAAACCAAGCGCCGGTTCGAGCGCAAGCGCTCCGGCGTGTCGACCCTGGCCGACATCGACACCTCCGAGGTGTATGACCCGGCGGCGGTGGCCGTGTCGGCGGCGGATCTCCTGCGCCAGGCCGGGGCCGCCGGCGTGCCGGCCTCGATCGGGACCACCGCGCCCGGGGCCGCGGCGGCAGGTCCGGCCTTCGGCGCCGGCCCGGCCGCCGCCGGCCGCCCCTCGAGCCCGGTCATCCGGGCCAGTGCCCCCCTGCCGCCGGAGTTGCGTGCCGCCGGCGGTCCGGGCCCGGGCGATGTGCGTCTGCATGCGCCGCCAGGCGCGGCGGTCATCAACCTCCTCCACATCCAGCAGCAGGGCTACTACTCGGCGTCCCCCCTGGCGGCGGGCGGCGGCAATGGCGACGCCACGCCCGGCGCCGGGGAGGCAGCCCGCCCGGGGGACGCCGGCACCCCGGAGAAGCGCTCCCGCCGGGGGAGCCGCGCCAATGCCCGTGCCGGTGGCGGCGGCGGCGGCGGCGGGGCGAAGGCCAGCACCCGCAGCCGATCGTCCCGGCGCCGGCGCGGCCCGGCCCTGGCCTCGCACTTCCAGGAGTTCCGCGCCGTGGCCGGGCAGTCCTTCCTCCTGGCCCTGTGTTACATGGGCATCGCCGTGGTCAGCCTGGTGGGCAAGCACCACACCAACTGGGGCCGGGTGGTCAGCGCCCTGGTGGCCTCCTTCACGGCGCACATCTCCTTCTGGGGCCCCCTTGGCTGGCCGTTCATTGGCTTGTGCGTGTCCGACGAGCCGATTATTGCGGTGATTTTATTTCCCGATCACACATATTGCACCCACGCCTCGCCCCCCCCGCCCGCCCCGCCCCCCCTGGGCTCCCGCGCCTCCGCGCGCACACCAAGACCCACATGGGCGCATGGGTGCGCGCGCGCGCGCGCGCCCCGGGGGTGCATCTCCCCGCGCCCCGCCGGCCGCGCGCCCGCCGCTCCCGGGTCCAGAGCCCTCCAAACACGGGGGCCAGTCCCCCGATACTGGCAAAACCACCCGCCTGCCCACTGACGCGCTCGCCCTTCCCCCCCCGCCCCGCCCCGCCCCGCTGCCCGGCGGCCGGCTGCCCGGCTGGCCCAGCCTGACCAACCGCGAAAAGTACCTGGCCAAGTTCTACGCCGACACCGGGTTCGCCGGGATCCGGAGCAGCACCGGCGGGCCGCTCTCCCCCTCGGTCGGCAGCCCGAGCGGCGGGGCAGGCGCCTTCGGCAGCGGCCCGGCCTCGCCGATGTCCTACTACTGTGGCACGCCGATGCCGTTGACCCCGCGCACGCCCGGGGCCGGGGGGACCTCGGCGCCGGGGTGGGGCCCCGGCGGCGGCGGCGGCGGCGGCGGTCCCGCCGCTGCCAGCCTCGCCGGCTTCGATGCCGCCAAACGCGATTCCGTCATGCTGGCCGCCGGGCCGGCGGGGGGCGGGGCGGGCCTCCCTTCGGGGCGCATTCTCCAGCCGCCGGCCGGCGAGGCCCCCGCCGAGTGCGACTCCGAGCAGCGGCAGCAGCAGCAGCAGCAGCCGCACCCCCCTCCGTCTCAGCCCCAGCTGCCGGACCACCGGCCCGGGACCCCGATCACTCCCGGTGCATCCGCCGGCGGTGGCAGCAAAATGGCCATCCTGTCTAAGCTGGTTGGCGCGCCGTCGCGGCGTGGGAGCTCCTCCGGCGAGGCCGGGGGGCCGTCGTCCCGACACGGGACCTCGATCGACATGGCCGCCGAGACGGACCTCCCCTCGACGACCCCGCCAAGCCCGATGGCCGGGCCCGGCCCCGGGGCCGGTGCCGGCGGCCTCCTCAGCCGGCTTTCACGTCGGCGCAAGAGCTCCCTCGCCGTGCCGGCCACCATGCCACCGCATGGGCGCATGTCGGCCACCGAGGACCCGGAGGCGCAAGTGGACCTGGCCTCCGGCTCGATGGCCTTCTACCACGACACCGGGGACCTGGTGTCCGAGGGGTCGCCCACCGAGGCGCTGCCCCCCCCGGCCGGGCCCGGCCTCGGGGCCATCATCACCTCCGGCCCGGGGGACGATCGCCAGCAGCAGCAGCCGCCTTGCCGCCTGCCACGGCCGGGCTATTCGGCCGCCACCAGCCGGGGGGGGGCTGCCACCGGCAACGGAGGCATCATCATCGGCGACAGCTGCAGCGCCAGCGCCGACTGCGGCAGCAGCGGCGGCAGCATTGCCTCCCTGATAAGCCCCTTCACCAGCAGCGCTGGCAGCGCAACGTGTTCGTTGCACGATTTCGGCACCTCCTCCGGTTCGGAGGACGACGACTCTTCCGCCTCCGACACGGCCTCCAACCATTCGTGAGGGGTGGAGAGGAGTCGTCCCGAACCCGACTCCCCGCCCGCCCCCCGCGTCGTGGCGGTCGTCGTCGCGCGGGCCGCGCCAGCTGCTGCCCGAAAGAGCTCCCACCCACGCAGGGCACCAGCACGCCTGGGGAGAGACCCCTCGGATTTTTTCGCCCATTTTCCCCGAGTCCCCCCCCCCCCCCGGCTCCCGCGGGAAAAATCAGGCACCGTGTGTGACCCCGAGGAGCCAGGGGCAGGGGCCAACAGGGGAACAACGGGGGGAGACCCGGAGAAAGGACCGGGCCCGGGGCCGGGGGGGGGTGGGATGTACATTATTGCCAGCCCGGCGGCCAGTTTTCCCACCGAGCCGTGCGGGAGAGGGGGAAATAAAAAAGAACGAGTGGAACCATGTCCGGTGCCCTTGCATGCCTAAGTCGCGAACACCGACGCCGGGTGACGGATCCGGGCCTGGCTCTGCCCAACCCCGCCCCCGCCGGGCCGTGTCCGGCCCTAGTCTTACCCACGCCCCGGCTCCGAGCCACATTGTCTCACGCATGCCAGCCGGCATGCCGCGGGCCGGGCCGGCGGCTGGTCGGCGAGTTCAGATTCCTGGGGCCGAAAAAAAGAGTCTGGTACCCATGATGGGCCTTGCCCGCGCTGCTGGGCGGGCGCGGGTTCCTTCCCCCTTGCGGCCCCCCGCCCCGCCGGTGGCCGCGGGCCCAGGCCTCGGGGGGGGGGGGGGGGG